AACTTAATGACTTTAATTTTTATCTGTGGTAATTGTAGGAATCAAACCAGATGATGGATTCTATGATATAGACACGATCCGCAACGCGATAAAAGATGTGATTAGGTTTACGCCAGGAATCGGATGTAACAAAGATCCGGAGCTTAACGACCAACTTCACGAGATCTACATTTGCGTTGATACATCAGGAACCGAGTTTATCGAATGTCCAGTTTTGGGTAAAGGAAGATGTCCATCTAAACTTCAGTTTTCTAAGTTTTGATTATATCTTTCTTTGAGTGGTTTCGTTTATCTTATGGAAGACCTTTAATTGCTTATCTTCTCTTTTCCTAGTCCAAATTCAATGTAATAGTTTATGTTACTTAATCTAAATTTAATAAAACAACCTTTGGTTATTTAATATTAAAATGACGTCCGTTTAAGCCAATCGTGCCAAGTCTGTCTTTGCATGGACTAGTCTGCTTCCGGTAATCCGGTTTAATGTATTGTTGTCGTTTATCTTGTGGATAAAATATATATGGATATCCAGTTTCTTACAAGTAGTCTAAAATTATATATATGTAGATGAACAAATCTATACAATGTTCTTTTTTTGTTAAATACAAAAATGTTCTTACTATTTTGTAGAAAGTATGACAAAATCAATAATAATGCTTTAACAACAAGCAAATCAATTGTCAACGGCGAAATGTGATGGTACAAAATTGTAAAATTCTATACATGTGCTGCATATTGTCATTAATCCAATTTTTCCAAATATGAACGAGTGTAAAATGACAGGACAATCCAGATGTGTAACACTTTTACTTCTTTGTAGATTGCATTCAATGGTTTTTCATCTACATTAACATATCACTTGCATCATTTTGTTTGTTTTAGTCTTATATTAGTGATTTGATGTTCTTAGTGTGTTATCCTCAAATCTTTGTGGTTTGATACCTTGATTACTACTCGTTTGCTTGCATTTAGGTGTTTATCTGGGAGTTAAATTTTTTTATCTCATCAAATCTCAACACTTAATCACCCTTAAACACATCTAAAACCATAATTTATTGAAT